CCCTCTCTTATTTTGTATGATATGCAATTTCCCTTTCTCCATTTATTTTTATTTTTCCACTGATATTAAATCATTGATGTGGGGAATTTTCTCATGTAATGAGATTTAATACTTGTGTATTCTCCACCGTATAGACTGCAGTTTTTTCTTTTATTAAGTAAATACAGAAGAGTCATTTTTCAATTATATTGAATACTCTTCAATATTGTTGTTAGCCTTTTACTCACTGTAATGTAATTTAGTATAATTAATATTAATGAGGTCATCTCTGATTATTTTATTCAATTTTATTACACGTTCAGTGAACCTCTTCTCTCTTTACTTTTTGTTTCTACATCTTGTTCTTTGCTTTCCAGTTCTTTTTTTTTTTTTTTTTTTTTTTTTTAATCTTTAACAAATATGTTTTTGCATTTCAGAATACAGTGAAGCATATCGCGTGCCAGGTAAATGTCTTTAGATACTATTTTACACTTTCATTAGAAACAGAATTTTTATCTGCAGGAAATTATCAGGAAAATCCTACAGATACCATAATATATCATAACTTGTGTGGTGGTGACTGTAAATAGTATATTTTCCAAGAAAAGGATAATATAGTTATAGTAACAGAAATTTTGGTATGATTACATCATCCATTGACTAATTAATGAAACTTTAGTTATTGATTTTCTTGTCACTTGCTTTTTTTTCCTCCAGGTTTGATTCCTGCTACAGCTGCATCTCCAGCAACTGAGCAATTCACAATGAATTTCACCATAACTAATCTTCCATACTCTAGTAGTCTCCGAAATCCCAATTCTGCCAAATTTAGTGCTACAGGAAGAGTTTTGATTGCTCTGGTAAGTTTGATGAATTCCTGTTTTTCTTTGATATTGTGCTTATGTAAGCATAGTTAACTTGTAATTTTTATTCTTCAGCTGGATCAACTGTTCAAAATGACCAGTATTCACTCTGTGTATACAGGATGCAAAATGATGGCATTCAGGTAAACATAATCATTTAGATTTGGAAAATGCATATTTTCATGCTATACTATGTTATGCAAATGGATCTTAATCACTTAATTCATCACTTTTTTTAATTCTGAGGCTGCACATAACTATGAGAAGTCATTACATTTCTTTACAGATGGGTCTTTATAAATGTACTTTACTTCATGCTTTTATCTGAAAAGTCAAATGCTTTTTCAGCATTTTGACAACACAGTTGAGTTAATCATCATAGGGGGGAAAAATACCTTTTCTGGTCTACCTGGCAATCTGATTGTGCTACGGAAACAAAACCCACCAATACATATCATGAATATTGAATTCTGGAACCGAACAGGATGTATTCTAATTTCTCTAGAGCTACACAAAAAAGTGAGGATACTGGAGTAGATGCTGTCTGTACCTACAAGAGAGATCCTGCTGCTCCCCAGTTTGACCGAGTGAGGGTTTACCATGAAGTGAGCAACAAGACCAATGGCATCACCAACTTAGGAATATACAAGCTGGACCAGGAAAGCCTGTATATCAATGGTAAAGTGTTGATTCCCATATGCTGTGGGGATATTCATACGGCTAATAATCTATAGTTGCCTAGTGATTAAAACACAGCAGTGACTTCTGTGCAGATGAATAGCATCTTAAATGCATATGTACTTGGGCTCAAAGCTATGTACTTGATAATTCACAAAGCTCCATCATCTACACAAGTTCTCCTCTGAAAGCAGCACTTAAATCTTCATAGCAGTAAAGGCAACTAAGTTCAGCACCATTTAGGAACCTCACCTTGTCATTTACAATGGAGTTGTCTTCAAAATAACACTGCCCTGCACTGTGTAAATAGTTTAAGTGACTGCTCAGAAACAGCACATCTTTTGTCCTCCCGTGGAATCTTTCATCTGTACAAATATCTCTGAGTCAGCAGCCTAACTCGTTATTTCCTCTCTGTTTCCAGATTACCATGAAGCCCATCTCTTGCCTTGTAAGTACTTTAAGTAATTAAAAAGGCATGATGCCTAAAGTGTCAGTACAAGAGATACACAGATGAATGTCTGATTGGAGAGCTTCCCTTTCTTAGCTTTTTCATGGAGCTATAAGTAAAAATAAGGTGCAAACATTTAACAGTGAGAAGAATCAGCTACGAAGCACAGTTGTTTATTTACAGGCTTCATTCAAATGTTTCATGAGGCATTATTTCTTCCTGGAAAACAGACTTTAGTCAAATCAAGGCCTCTGCAGAGGAGTAACTGAATAAAATCCTATGCCCTGCATTACAGAGGAGGTCAGAGGAGATGGTATGAGGAGACCCATTTGCAGAAATACATAGCTACACCTGCAGAACGCCAGAGGGTAACTAGTGTTGACATTTCAGTCTCTTCCAAAAGCAACTTCACAAGTAGAAATGGTCAGAGGTTCAAAGACCTACATGGAGTATCAAGGCTAGTGTGGTTGGAGCACAGATGGAGTTAACTTCGACTCCTCATCTGAAATGGTCAGGTACTTGTTTACAGCCTGGTCTGCTAGGACTGGCCTTCTATATGAATATGAATGAGCTACAGATTCCTCACCTGCTCTACAACTACATGCCCCACGCTGCTGCTGGCATCATCATTCCCATTCCATACTGTATTCAGTATAGTGTACATCCATTCCAGCAGAAAAGAACTGTTGAATCTGCTAAAGACAGAGATTAAAAAATAGTTTGCTTTCTACTCACAACAAATTTTGTGCTTTTTTTGCAGCAGCATCTCCAGCTCTTCCTCTTGCAAGAACAGAGCGTTTCACAGTGAACTTCACAATAATCAATCTGCTTTACAGACCAGAACTAGGAAACCCAAATTCTAAAAAATTCAATGCTACAAAAAACACTCTGACATATTTGGTGAGCATCAGTCAGGTTCTTCCTGTGGCTGTTTGTTTATTTTTATTTTATTTTCACTGACTTGATTTCTTTTTTTTTTTTGCAGCTTGACCACATGCTCAAGAACAGCAGCATTAACTCTACTTACACTGGATGTACAGTGGTGGCACTAAGGTAAGAGGCACGTCCTCAAAATGTTTTTTGTTATAAAAGACAATGGCAATTCAAATTTTGGCTGACAATAGGATTATACAGAGATCTTTCCTTTGCATATAGTTCCTTCCTGCTTCTATTGTCTCCTAAGTTAGTAGATCCTGTTAAGCTCTTGAGAGTGCAGGAAAAAAATTAGACCTCATATATGATCCCACATGATGGAGGAGAGGGTTAATACATAACTTCTGATTTTACTTGCATTAATTTCACACCAATTTTGCACTAAATAAAAAGAGTAATATGACTAATTTTATATGCAGTTCAGTTAGATCATAAGAACACTGTTCTAATTGTATAAAACAGAATGAATACTGCATTTTTAAAATTTGAGGCATTATTTCATTAAATAATGGTGTTTTACAGTATTTTAACAAGAAATCCAATTCCATGGTAGTTACTGCACAAGCAAATTCAAACAAATGCATGTAAGTGCCATTCAGGCTGTAAGCAAGCACGTAGCTTTTCAGATCTGTGAAGAACAGAGATGACACTGGCGTGGATGCAGTCTGCACATACAGAGCCAACACAACCGCTACTAAATTTGACCGAGTCATGGTTTATTGTGAGCTCAGCAGGATGACAGCCAGCTGCACTGAGCTAGGACCCTACAGGCTGGATGCAGCCAGCTTCTATGTTAACGGTAAGTAGCTGAGTTGATTTGACTGCTGATTTGATACTAGCTGGATGGAGAAACTGAATAAATACCTAACCACAGAAACAGTAGTACCTGCATGGAGGGTGAAAGGAAATGCCAGCCCAAACAGAAGAGCCACTGTCACTAACAGTTTTCGCACCTTGATTTTCTTTTGAACTAAATAACTGTGCCAAATATAATACATCATGTGTCATATAATAATATATCACAGGGTGCTCTCCAGAAAAGATCAGGCTTAGCCTCCCAAGACACAATGTATCCCTCTGGAGAGGAACAGCACTAGAACTGGACACTCCTTGACAAAAGGGATACTTAAATTGGATTTAGGCAATGGAAGTTTCCTTTTGACTCCTCTGAGGAAGGGAGAATTCTGTGTACTCCTCTATGAAAAGCAGCAGTTTGCCAACAATATACATTAGCGTAGGTGTTTAATATGCATTCACGCCTAGACAGTCATCAAATCAGTCTTCTTTAATAAATGTTTACACAGGGTATCTCAGGCAAAAGACATTCAAATTATGTACTCTACTGTGTACAAGAGCTTATGAATTCTAAGCCAGTTTCTCAGATACTGTCCCATTTCTTCCCCTCCCAGGTTATAATGAACCACAGCATGGACAATGTAAGTACCTTTAAATACCAATCGAAAGGGCAAGAGGATTTTGTTAGTTAGCAATAGCTTAAGACAAAGGTTGGATTAACCAACTAAAAGCACTACAACACCCATAAAGCAGTGTTATGAGAATCTGGGAGCCCTGCTAGGGTACCAAGCTGCTATGATACAGAGGTCAACTAGAACACCCAAGAATTTTTCTTCTAGTTTTTCCTCTAGGGATGATGTTCATAACTTATCTTTTCAAGCAATAATTTACCTCAATCATTACAGCTGTTAATCAAAGTACACAACTTCTGTCACCATCAATAAGGAACTTCACACTGAACTTCACTATAACCAACCTCCAGTTCACTGCAGACCTAGTGATGCCAAATTCCAAAAAATTCAAGTCAACAGAAAAAGTCATGCACTATTACGTAAGTCTGGAAGAATCACACCCTGCCTGAGCACAGTTCCTTTGATATCTCTAATGTCTTACCCTTTTGTGACGTTTTGCTTACATATTTTTGCTCTAGGTTGACCCTCTACTCCAGAAAAGCAGCATTGGCCCTGCTTACATTGGCTGCAATGGGATGGCATTCAGGTAAGAGTCACATCTGGGAAAGGTTTGGGTTACCCATTTCTTAAACATGTTGTTTCCCATTTCTCGGTCTATAGAGTGGTAATATTCAACACATTAATGCAATGCCATTCTTTGCTATGTCTTTGGTCATATATTAAAAGTTAAGACAGACTTCTCAATAGCCGGCTAAAATATATTGAAACAAATGGCCCATTTCTCAGGTCAGTGAAGAACAGGGATGACACAAGAGTAGATGCCATCTGCAGCTACAGAGATGAGCCTTCAGATCCCACGTTCAACAGAGTGACTGTTTACCATGAGCTGAGCAACATGACAAATGGCATCACCAAGCTGGGACACTACAACCTTAACAGCCAGAGCCTCTACGTTAATGGTAATGAGACCATTATTGGCCATTGGCCTCATGAGAATGAGGAGGATTAAATACTCTCCAAAACTGATAACAAAAAGCAGGGGGCAAGTTGTCAAAATCACTAAATTAACACAGTTAAGAATCAAGTTATCTTTATCCTGAAGTTAGTAATAAAAAACATGAACATGTTTAGCCCTGCTGAGCTTGGTCAGTAGGAAAGAAAAAATATTCTTGGAACATTTTCTTAATGATTGTCCCTTTGTTTTCCAGATTATAATGAACCATACACTCTCTCATGTAAGTATTATTTAAGAACAGACACATGGTAAAGCTACTCAAAGACATAAATTAATTTTTTTTTCCAAATTTGGCAATGCCCATAACAGATCTTGTAATCATGTTATTTATAAGCTTCAGTTTATCTGCTCCAGGTGTAGAGGGAAAAATAGTAATAATGTTGTATCTTATAAAGGTTCTGCACTTATTTTGTCTGTATAATTTTTATTCTTGCTTACAGTTATGAAGCCATCCACCACCCAAAGCCCAGGGCCAACAACAGAGCAGTTTACACTGAACTTCACTATAACCAACCTCAGGTTCACGACAGACCTAGCGACACCAAATTCTGCTAAATTCAATTCTACAGAGAAAATAATGCAAAGTTATGTAAGTTAAAGTCATGTTGTTCTTCGCTGAATTCACCCAGTACTTTGCTTTTCCCTTTCTCATAAGGGAATGTACTCACAAATGCTGTTCTTTCTTTATCAGATTGATCGCCTGCTTCAAAGGAGCAGCACTGGCCCTGATTTCACTGGCTGCAAAGTGATAGCATTCAGGTGAGAGCAGTATAGCTAGGAGATGAACTTAACTTTAGCAAATTAATTTATGGATGTTTGACTGACAATAACACATAGTCCTTTTCCATTTTCAGGATAACAGCACGTTATAAAAGGGCATAGAAGCTTTATTGTATGGTTTTTATCTTATAAAGCTTTTTTCCCTACAACATTATCCTATCTGAGCAAATAACTTCTGCAGTTTACCTCTGAATACTATGGATAGAATTTTTTTTTAATCACATATCAGAAAGTAACTAACAGAACTTTCATGACATTTGATTCCTCAGGTCAGTGAGGAATAGGGATAACACAGGAGTAGACACCATCTGCAACTATGGAAGTGGCTCTCAAGTGCCCAAATTTGACCGAGCTAAGGTTTACCAAGAGCTAAGGAGCATGACCAGTGGCTTTACCAAATTAGGAGTCTATAACCTGGACAACAACAGCCTCTATATCAATGGTAAATGCATGATTTTCTTATTCCTCCAGGCACTGGAGGGAGTTGGGACCTCCTTAGACTTTAGGTACTTTAGTTATTAATAACGTAACCTTAAGGGAAAGGTGGCCCCACTGAAGTTTACTGACAACTTATGCACATAAGACAAAACATATGCTTCTAAGTTTATTGTCATATAGACATTTTGAAGATTTTAATTTCTACCTTACATTTAAGAGTGACTTAATTTTAGTCTTGTCTCAGTCTCTGAGTTGCATATGAACATTGCACCTGATATCTGTCCTACCTGTATGTGTTTCTAAGAAACGGCACATATTTTCCTCATTGCAGTCTTCACTATTATAACACTTCCTTCTACTTAATTAGTAGGTAGTTTGTTTAATGGATTGACACCTACAGGAACTGATTTTGGTGATTCATTCCCGAGTCATCCATTTCATTATTCCCTCTTCTCTTTCATTCGTGAAATGTATCATTCTCTTATGTAATCATTCTCTCGCATTTCCTTTCCAGGTTACAATGGACCACCTGAGAGAGCACGTAAGTGTTTTGTCACTCATTCCAGTGAAAGCTATCAAAGGAGTGGTGCACTCCAAAAATGAGACGGGAACAGATTCTTCAGAGTGGCCTTGAAATTTTGCTAGGATTGCAAATGTCTTTGAAAGTGAGGATGGCTTTTTGTATGGTGAGATCATAATCCTTCTTCCCTTTGATTATAGCTCTGAGCTCAACTACTGCACCAAGCCCAACATCCAGGCATTTCACACTTAATTTCACTTTGACCAACCTCCCATACACTGCAGATCTGGATGTACCAAGCACTTACAAGTTCATTTCCACAGAGAAAATTATCAAACATTATGTAAGTCTGCCTCTGGTTTTGTTCATTTTGTGTGTTATGCTGATGACCTTACTCTGTCTGCATTAAATTCAGGACATGCTTTTAAGTTTTCTCAACTTTACTCTGTTTCTTTCTCCTCCCAACAGCTTGACCCTCTTTTTAAGAGAGGCAGCATAAGCCCTGTCTACACAGGATGTAGAGTGATGAGATTTAGGTAAGAGTCCTGAAAGAAAGTTTCCCTTGTCTGCTTTTATACACCCTGGCCTGGAAGTTGTTGTAGTTCTTTCGAAGCCAAAAGACTGAGGCCTTGTCTATCTGCCTTGCCTTCTCTAGATACAATCAGCATCGTAGCTTAAAAAGGTTAAAATTTACCCTCTGCATCTTCCTAAAAATTCACAATTTCCTTGCTGGAAGTCATTTTCACATGTAAATGCTCCTGCCGCAGTTCTTGAATATCTCCTCAAAGATGTAGGAGATTGATTGCGCTGATAGGTTTCAATGTTTATCCTTCCCATTCATAAGTTACATAGGATGTTCTGTTAAGGACATTGCTGATGCTTACAATGCGTCTAACATTTTTGCATAGGTCTGTGAAAGACAGGGATGACACTGGTGTAGATGCTGTCTGCAGCTACAAAAACAACATCAGCATTGCCAGCTTTGACAGAGAAAAGGTTTATCATGAGCTGAGCACCATGACAAAGGGTGTCACCAAGCTAGGGCACTACAGCTTGGAGAAGAACAGCCTGTATGTCAATGGTAAGCATCTGTAAGCAGCATCAAGATACGACTTGAGTCACTTGGAGTGGAAGAACAAGGAGTGATCTTCATCAGGGTTTGAGTGCTAACGAATTTCTACTTTGGTTTATTGGGATTCCACAGGTTTTGGCATTATGACATAATCAATCCAGCACATTGCTGCCATTCTGGAAGGAGTGGTGTCCCTTAAATTGCACAAATTCCTGGATAATTGCATTTTGATATTCATATAAACTAAACAAGGATCTAGGCGTATTGCTTTTGTGGTGTGTGTGTATAGAGCTGATGTAAAAAAAAAAAAAAAATTCAACCTTTTTTTATTTAGGTTTCCACCTCACAGCTATCACCAGAAAGCCTGTCTTAACTGAAGCTCCAGCCATTTTGGGCTATAATTTCAGCTTTAGAATAATCAATGAAAATCTAACTAATTCAGACTCCCAGTCTCCAGAATACAAAGCAGCAGTGGAAAGCATCAGTAACAAGGTAAGGAGCTACAGTTCAGAAGTCACCATATCTACACCAAATGACCAGTGACTGCATAAATCTCTGCCACCTCAGAGGTCAGCACAGGTTTAATTTGTTGTAGATAGTCCAGTGCAGGTCCTCTTCAGCACCAATCCACTAACATAACAATCTGCTAAAGCCCTAGCTAGGGAAGTTCCCCCTCCCCCCCCCAAGTGAAGCCATAATGAAGCCTCCTTCAGGTGAAACCTGAGTTGAGTCTGTTTTGCCCATGGAATATGGATCAAGATGACAGCTGTCAGACAGCAGACAAGTGTGCTTTAATAATAACTACTCAGATAAGATAAGGGCTGCCAAGCTGAAAGTCAGACTCCATCACTAGAAGGCATATTTTGAAATAAAAGCCATCTCATATGAGAACCTGATTAGCAGAGAAAAATCTGTTGTTGCTCCAAAGTTAGAGGTCCTCCTGCTGCCTGAAGCATTCCACCATGAGGTCCAGAACTTACATATTTAACGTAACATTTTTATTTCAGATGAACCAACTATATCATCAGAGCAATCTGCAAGATCACTTCCTGAACTGCAGTGTCACAAGGCTAAGGTTTGTAATACAATTTGATTTTGAATTTTGTTTTCTATGCCCTATCCAAGTCATTCATAGGCTTCCTGGAGCTCATGAGTCTGAGTATGTTCTGACTTGGTGGGGATTGACCATGGTCAGTGCTGCACAGCTAACATGGAATATGTTGGAGGGTCTCAAATACGCTTTATTAATAAAACTTTTCCTCAGTCACAGTCAGGATTCTTGTAAGGATCTGGGGGAACTGTGGCACTCTATCAGGCCTCTTTGAATATCCCTGTAATTACTGATTGCCATCAGCAATCTTACCAGAGGAATAAAGACCGAATGGTGATCATGCAACCTCTGCCTTCCTCCTCCCTTCCTCCAGACTTGGACTCTGCTGGGTTTTAAAATGACTTTGGGCATATTTGTAGTGTCCTGCTTCAGTTGGGAAGGAATTTGGACAAGGGACCCTCACACAAGGCTAAAATTTTTGAAGAAAGTCCTGATCCTTCAAGCTATACATGCAGCATAATCATAACTTAAGTTTGCATGGAGAAGAGGTAGTGGCACTTCATTTGCCATACCTGGCCTAAGGAGAAGCTCCAGAGCAGTCTATTCCACATCTCTCAGTAGCACCACGTTAGATTAAAACACTCCTTAACACTGAGAATAGCAGGAGCCCCTAGGAAACTGTCCCATATGGAGGCCTCCTGATCATCAGCTAGCCCATTTGTTTCAGAGCCTCTGTTTCTCTCTCCACAGGCCTGGATCCATAGTGGTTGACTGCAAGTGTTTCTTCCAGCCAGAGCCCAGCATCAACAGGGCTGCGGTTGAAAGGGCTTTTCAGGATGGGATTTCACATGCGACTGGGCTGCGGCTGGGAAGCAGTTACCAGCTGCAAGGATTCTCAGTAGACAGTACGTAAAGCTCATAGAAGATCATGAATGTCCCATTTCTACTCAGATTAACCCACTTTGTCATAGCATGCTCAGAATTACCCACTTCCTGATCTGTTGGGGGGGGAAGGAAACACTATGTTCCCCCACACTGAATCACTGAACTTAAGCCAGAGTTGGGCCAGTCCTTTGCCAAATTCAGTATGGCTCAGTCCAGCCAGTGGGGTTATTATATGTTAATATATTATTAACATTATTAAATATATTATTTAAGGGGTTATTATATGTTAATTAAGGCAAAGAAGTGATAACTCCTCATCAGAATTTCTAAAAGCCTGTTTCTCTCCAAGAGTTTGCTTTTTTTCCCCCCAAGATATACGTATTCCCAAAGCACTGGCCTGGGGAGTTGCTTAAGGACTGAGCTTTCAAAGGGGTATATTGGGTCTAGGGTGTCCGATCCCAGTGTGACCCATGTTCTCTTAATTTCCTAGGACCTCTCTGGATTTTTCCCAGCTGGAAGTCCACCAAGCAACACTGATCTGCATAAGAGCCTCCATGTTTCTCTTTGCTATAATTTATTTATATTTTTCCCCTCTATCTCCAGGCTTAGAACTAGCAATTGAGGCAGCAACTCACAGAACACCCCTCCAATCTGAGAAAGAAAGCTTCAGATTAAACTTCAGTATCACCAACCTTCACTACTCTCCAGCACTGCAGGACACCAAGTCACAGTTGTCCAAAGTGAACAAGCAGAAGATTGAGAAGGAGGTAAAGCTAATAACAGTAGTTTAGACTGAATCCTCTTGTCCAAATTAAAGCTGTATTAGATTCATTCATTTTGCTTGTTTTGTTTCTTCTCGTCAGCTTGACGTATTCCGAACTAGCAGCCTGAAGGACTACTTTGTTGGCTGTACTGTTGAGAGCTTTGGGTATGTCCTGCCTTATAGGCTGTTATTTCAGAGCTGGTTTTCTTTAGTCCCAACAGAACATTTAGCAGAAATGGCACTCGGAACTGCAGCATGGTGTTTATGCCTCAGTGACAACCTGTATTCACTCAGTAACACATAGGAGGCACCTTAATTCATTCTCAGTCAGTTTTGCCTTTACCACAGATCATTTCTGTCCAAATAAGTTTTTTTTCCTCTCCATGCTAGCAGAGCTATTTTCAAATACAAGCAGCTCCAAAATAAAACAAATAAACTAATTATGTCACTTAACTTATTCAAACAAGTGAAGACTCAACTCAAACAGATTGGGAAAACAATCATAACTGGCCTGCCTGCTTTTTTGTGTCTTCATCTCCTTGGAGGAACAAGGAAAGCTGACTGACTTATCTCAGAAATGCCATGCCCAAGATTTAGTGGGTGGATTTCACAATGCCACGCAGCAGTTCCTTCCGTCTAGTGTAAACTGTACAAAACTGATCCTATGCTAATAAAGCATTGCTCAGACATCCGCAAACCTGAGCCCAGTGCCTGAGTCCTCTCCTGATGCCTCTCCACTTTATCTGCTCTTCTATCTAGTTCTGCGCTAGCTTTCTCTTGTCCCATAACAGCAGCTCTGGTCTTCATCCTCCAGGCCTGTCCTTGGGAAAGCTTACACAAGTGTTGCCTCCATCTGCAAATTCACACTGCACCCCTCCTCGAGGGCTTTACAAAGGGAAGTAGTATATGAGGAGCTGAAACACTTGACGCAAGGGTTCACCAAGCTGGGCCCCAGCTACCAGCTGGACGAGCATAGTTTGGGTGTTGATGGTGAGTACTGCTGAGTTGATTCAACTTTTGTTAGTTTTGTTTTCATCACATCAAGTGTCCTGTTCCCCACCTGTCCTACCCTTTCTTTTCCAGGTTACTCTCCACTCAAAACAGCTGAGCAGGAAAGATCTGGTAAGTGCTTTTGTGGAGGCGTTCACCCCAAAGCTCCTGAATACTTGTTGAGCTACGCTAAATTAGCATAACATGCCTTGAAAAGGTGACTGGACCACTGTCAGGAGCACAAAAGTTTAGGACGCCTGGGAGACAGGCAGCAAACAGCAGGGACCAGAGCCAGCGAGCCTGGGGAAACCCAAAGTGAAGGGCAGGCAAGAGCAATGGAATTTGGGAAGCTCTAGTACCAATAAGTTTCAATAACTTCAGTATTTACAAGAGCAAACAAAAAAAACAAAAAAATGATACAAACAGCGCTGAGTACTGCCACAAGCCCAGAACTAACATTAAACAAAAACAAATCGCAAGTACTCCCAAGCACTGCTTTTCCATGCACTGGGAACACCCTCACAAGCAACTACAGCTTTTTTCCCCAACACCCTTAACGCTGTCCCCTCCCTGAAAGAGACCTAGCCAGGAGCTGAGACACCTTTGTACTCTCTGAACAGCCTCAAAACCATCCAGGGACCCTAAAGCTAACTGCAATGGTATTTAGTGTTGTGGATCCTTGCACCCTCACTCTGTTCCACCAAGGCTTCTGCACATCCCTCCCATCTTCACACTGCTGGGGCACATGTGCCTGCAGCCTCCTTTCCAGTAATTTCACCTCACCCGTGCTGTATAGCACTTTTGAACTTTGACAGGGTGAAAATTGTGTCCCATGTGCAATAGCTACAAGTCAAAAGACTGATGTGCCTCGATTTTGTTTTTTGCAGAGCTTCCATTCTGGGCAATTATCCTTATCTGCCTCTTCACACTGCTTGGTTTTATCCTCCTACTCCTGTTATGCTTCCTGGTAAGTGGCCCCTTTGCTGTCACACCTCTTGCTTTTGACTCCTGCAACACCCAGCAGTCCAAAGAGTTGCAGAAAGGGCACTCAGAGACACACTCAGAGACCCTACAAGGAATCCAGGTGGGAGCAGTATATCACATGCAACATCAAACGCTGTGCCAAATCCTCTCTCAGTTACTGCCACCCCTTTCAAGGGCTTGTGCACAGGAGGATAGGGAAGAGTATTTAGCCCACTAAGCAGATTTTTAGGGAAGGAGGCAGTGGATCCTGAGTGAGATCTAGTCCTCTGGAGAGGGGAAAATATGAAAGTAGAGGAGATGAGGCAAACCCCGAGAGCAGAAGCAGGTTGAATTAGAGGACTTCCTACAAAACTCCTCTTAAACCTTTTCCCTGCACAAATTTTTGCAGAATGCCCAGTTTGGAAGAAATATTTTTAAGCAACCCACAGATGACAAGAGAATTGAGAATTTTTTGTTCGGTTCTGATAGCATGCAGACTGTAGCAGCCCTGCAGGGCCAGACCCAAGCTGTATCTCATTGGAGATGGCAGAGCAGATCTTTGTCTGGTGCATATTTGCTGGGGGAAAAGTATTTTATTAGCACTGTTTCAGCAGTAGCTGTATTTGCTTGACACCAGATAGAACAGAATGGCTAAATCCATACAGAACATGGATTGTCTTTGGAGGTTCAAGAAGAAAAATTACAGTCAGTAAGATTAGGAGAGAAAAACCTCAGATTCAAAACCAGCAGTTGTACTATTGACTGCCTATGGAGCCTTAGGCAAGTGTCTTTACCGCTGAGTTATCCCATCTGTCAAATGGAGGGCATCTCTCCACCCAGTAAGGCGTTCTAAGACCCTCTAATGAAAAGCAAAGTGCATACTTGGTGTTTTGCAATTAATATTGTTCCCTTTTCCACCAGATTGTCTTTTGCCTAAGAAGAAAGTCAAACCTGTACCAGGTTCAACAGAGTATGTACGGGGTGTATTTCCCACATCTGAACACAAGAAAAGTGCATTGACATAACAGATGAAGTCTGCTTTCACAGACCAGTTCCATCCACAGATGAAGGAAAGGTGTTTACAACTGCTAGGAAAATGTTTCTTCTTTAATAAGTTATATTTAGCCTTTTCTCTTATCTTGATGCAAGTCTGCACTATTACAACAACTACTTTCATAGTATGGGAAACTGCCAACGCAGATTTTGGGAAAAATATTTTTTGAAGCACTGTAGTATTTTATATAAATATTACACCACCAGCAAAATGAAGACTGCCAGGAACTGCAGTTTTCAGGGCTGTTCAGTGTTAATGTCAGTTTTCTGAAAAGGGCTTAATTAAGCTAGTTTACAGATTTGCAGGACTGACTACCGTAAATTAAAAACAAGACAGATCACTTAGACTTTACTCTTTTTCCTGGTTTCTCTAAAATATCTATTTTAAGCTGATGAAAACATTTTATATTTAATATGTCAAAAGATTATTTAAAGATACATTGTTAACTATGAGTGTGATACAACACCCTGTCGTCTTTTAAGATCAATACCGATTTCAGATGAATAAATGTTAGATTTATTGCCATGAAACGGATTCCTTTTGTTTCCATATATCAGCACTTCATCCCCAAACAGGAAAGATTTCTGCCCTACAAAGATCTTATATTTTACTCCTTAGTGGTCTCATTGAGACCTCACTCCTACAGTGCAGGGTCTGATATCACTTATAATTACTTATTACATCAGGACCTTTTCTCTGTCCCTCTGAACCATGCCGTACTGGACAGATGTGCCCAAAACCTCAGTGCCAGGCCTGCAGCGTGCCCTGATTTTTGGCAGAGCACACTGGGTGCTCTTGCAGAAAATTCACACTAGTGTCACAAGGAAACTGCTGGATCTTGAGCCTGTATTGCCACATGTCCCTGGGAACCAAAAATCTTTTGGAAAGTCTGTCTCCAAATACAATGCCAAAATTTTCTTGAGGAAAACACGCAGAAAGGCTCACCCCTGCTCCCTCCCTAAGAGCATTTGGGGATCTTAATGCAGCGTTTCAGCACAGGAGATGGTGCTAATCTCTAGGTAATTACTTGATATTATCATTAGACAAACTCTCCACTCTGCTGAAAGGGAAAGCACCAGAACTAATGCAACCATGACAAGTCATTAATCCTTCCACTGCAGGCCATGTTTCCATGCAAACTGCCTTTTTGCTTTCAAAGCAAAACTGATCAATGGCAGGTTGGCCTCATTCACCTCCCAGGTTCGGTTCCTGAGCATGGACTAGAACATCCTATTTGGAAGGATTAGAAACTTACTTGCTTGATCAAAGGTTTACAAATGCCCAATATTATGTCAGCAACATCAGCTGAAAAAGTTTTCATAGCTGCTTGCAACAGACCTCTGTTGGTTTCCATGCTGCTGAGCAAGCCCTGGCTACGACATTGATGCAGGTACAGAAATGCTTTGAATAGAAAGGACTTCTTGGCTCAGCCTTTGAGGGGAGGCTCTCAGAACCTGAATGACTGAGCAGGAGTAAGGAGTCTAGTGGTTAGAGCATCAGCTCCTGTCTCAGGAGCCCACCTCCTGAGGCCTACCCCAAATCTTCCACTGACCATCCCCACTGTGCCTTAGTTTCCTTCTCTTCATCTCTCGAACTCCCCAAAGCCCACCTCCCCTTTCACTACAGAACACCATTTCGTGCCCCCCACAGCAGATGAGCAATGTTAACGGCACACTTGGGGGTGGTGCTGGACAGCTGGCACATACTGGGAGAGGAAGGTGCTATTTTGTGGAAATGTTTCCTAGAAGTTTTGGGTTTGTTTGTTTTTTTAAATGCCATATTCATGGTGAGAAGAGCTGCCTCCCAGCGCAGCATGCCATACCACCCACTTCCTCACCCTCCCTTACTAAGCACTGAGATGATGGCCAGGGCCCTTGTACCCTAGGCTGTGCCCACAAGACTACCAGGAACTGAAGGAGAGGCCCAATGCATGCTACAGAGCATGGACTAGCAGCCCCCGCACTAGCACCACTGTCCTGATCAGCCCCGAGGACAAAAGGGAGGGCAGAAAATCAGCCATTTTGCAGTGAAGCTCCTGGCAGCACCCCCAGAGTTCCAGGGCTTCTCTAAACCTGGCCAGGACATGCAATGTACAACAGGCCATGCATGCCTTGGCCAGGATTGCCACCATGGCCAGCCCCGACAGACACCAGCCCTGCCTGCTCATCTCCCCCATCCAACCCTGACAAAGTCCCACCGTGGTTTAAGAGCCAAGACTAGAGCTGAAATATTAAGAAAGGGGCACCAAGAAAGCTCAGAGAGAAGAGGATTTAGGAGCTGAGAAAGCAGCAGCACCTGCAGAAATTTGCAGGCAAAAAAGAGCCAGACTGGGTTGCACTGCAGAGACGGGTGGTATCTGCAAACCTCCTTCTGGGGCTGCCTTCCAAGAGGAAGGAGCTGTCACATACCAGTGCGCCTCTTGGCATCCCTTGCATTGTGTTGCAATGTGCCTCGTGTTATGGTTGGACACCAGCCCACATTTGCTATGGTGCTGCTGTTTCCCAGCAAGCTTGCTCAGGAGAAGGACAGGACCTGAGGGACAGCATGGCAAGGCCAGCTCAGCTCAGCAGTGACGCAGGTGCCTGAGCCACCAGCTCACTGACCTGGCCACAGGCAAAGATTTAATCCACCAGTTGCTGAAGCCAGATGGCTTCTCTTCCTCCAGAGAGGAGGATTAGCACACCCCCAGAGACAGATATTTGACTAGGGTCAAGGCCAAGGGCAGCAGCGAGGCAAGGGCAGAGCAAGGGGACAAAGAGGCAGAAGGTGGCCCAGCTCAGCCTTGTGGACCTTTCTTGGACACCCTTACAGCAAGCCCAAGCTGCAGCTCAGCCTTCCACTGTTGCTTTCCTCCCAGTGGGATCTTAGGCCTCCTGCTCTGTTCTCTGTCCTTACATTGCAGCTACACCAGGGCAATTCCTCTGTTTTTCTTTCCTTATATTTGTCTCGGTGTGACTTGACCCAGCCTCTCCACTGCTGCCAGTGTGCAAATCAACTTCTGATGGTCCCTGGCCTCCTCTTTTCTCAGTACAGGGCCAGCAGGACCTCCCCAGCACTGCCCTGCTAATTGCTGCCTGATAACAGACACTTTATCAGCCTCCTTTTCAGCTCTTAACATTTTATGTTCAGCTCTGGAAACAAGCTTGAACTGCAGCAATAAAAGATACAGCTGCTTCTCATCATTCTTCTCAGCGATTGCTATTCAGTTTGGCTCTTTCAGACAGAAAAATGCTCCAGCTGCCTAGGAAAGTAATCAAAAAGCCCTTCGTTTGCATTGCATTTCTTCCCCTGTGCAGCGAGGGCACAATTCAATACACACATCCAGACACTTTGCTGTAATCTCTGTTTTTAGCACTGACTCCAGCATCATTTCCCAACCACTAATTTCCATCCTAGTGAAGTTCTCATCTCCAGGGGTGGAACAAGCAGAGCAAGGGCCAGGCACACGGATCGCAGTAGTGGCTGACCCCAGCTTTGCTTGCTGGGCTTTATAGCTGCACAGCTAAGGGCAAATCAACCCATCCTTTCTGCTTATCCCTCTCATAGCTTTGTCACTAATTGTGCTTCATCAGCCTTTTCCCTCCTCCAAGAGAGATCTCTCAGCTTCATACAGCCTGCCAGCTGGGAGCTGTGCTGCACCTAACAAGGAATTTAATTTGCAAAATGGTTGCCTTATCCCGAACAGCAGCCTTACCTTATTGGCACCACAGCTGCTGAATGATGTCCCCCCCTCCCCCAAATCCCTGCCAGCCTGCAAGAAGCAAATCTAAACTTCCCCTAGAGCCACTGCTGGGGCCTTGCAGCTCCCCTTCTGTTCTTCTCTGATAAAAGCACCAGTGTTAGGGACAGCAGGAGACAGGAATTTCAACATTTTGGAATATACTTTGTCCAATACACCAGTAAAGAAGGACCATTAAGCAACTACAGCTTCCCCCTCCCTCTACGATCATAAAGGGACATTTCTGTCAGCTCTCGTGCCCACAGCACAGAGCAGCCCCTGCCACACCACTGCAGGCCTTTCTCCAAGCTCTGCTGTGAGCCAGGTCCACCTAGGGCTCTGGATGGACTCTGCAAATAGCCAGGCACCAGCTACACAGCCCACAGAGGCCTTGCTGCACCCAGCCACCTGTAAGCCCTTCAAACAGCCGGCTCATGGAAACTTTCCTGCATTCAGTCACCGCAGTTCAGTGATTCCCTTCCAAGGGCAGCAGTAAATAACCCCAGGCTAAGGGCACAGCCTGTGCAGTGCCAGTTAGTCTTTCACAAGCAGTCAAAAGGCTGTTGTAGGTGGCAATCTAGGCAGCTTTTGAAAGGCATTAGGCAGGATTTTACAAGAGTACTTCAGGAAATAGGAGCTATAGTTTTCCTTGGGTGTGCATAAGCACAGCCACAAAGGAGCTGCTCCAGCACCAGGTCAGGGTTTCCCCCAGGTGCTGGCTTGCAGCCAAATAGCATTAGCACAAACAAAAAACCCCAAAGCAGACCAAGAAAATCCCCAGGACACATGAGCTGGTATAAACTGGAGCTAGGTAACACTGTTCAGCTTTCCACCTCACTGCCAAAAAAAGCATCCGATACCAGCAAGCATTGTATTGTGGACTTACTGAACTTAATTGGGACCCAGGGGTCTCCCTGCCCACTCTCACTAACCCATCCTCCTCCAGCTGCTCCAGCCCCAGACCCCAGCCCCAGCCAAGGGACCAGGAAAGTATCCCTAATGTGCATTTTGAGGCTGCACCGAGAACAGCCTCACATACATCACAATGCAAAGGCCACCCATCATCCCCTGATCCCACTGACATGCTTACGTCCACAGCAACGTTCCTGTGTCTATCACTATGATCTGGTGTTTGGACTGTGCCAGATTAAATAGCAGGGGCCACAATGAACAAAGCCGCCAGCAGGCTGACAGGCGCATCCCCTGGGGCAGGCACTTTGCCTGGGTTTGGACTCTCTGAATGACTTTTTCTGACCTTGGGAAAACCAGTCCCTTCCTCCCCTGCTCTTGAGCATTTTTGGGAAGGCACCATCTGGCCCAGAGAAGATACAGGCTCTTACCCATCCACAGAGCCAGGAGGGTTTTACAAGGCAGAGACTTTTAAAAATTATCAGATTCTATTTGTGAAGAGGAACAGCGAGTTTGGATATTTAATCTGGGTCTCCCCACAGCAATACGAACCTGTGCCTTTTGGGGCAGCCCAGTGCCGATCCTCAACTCTCAATACCCGCATTAGGTGCCTGAACTGCCCCCACATATCCAGCCTTCAGAGGAGCAATGCTAAAACACTGCTCCTTGGGCTTGAAACACTCAAAACTGGGCACTGTGAAAGACCCTCCAGAGAGGACTCTTAACTAGATCCCTTTTGCTTTGAGGTAGATTAATTCAAATTCTGGCTGCTCCCTCCCCCTACATTTTTTAAAATCCTAACAAAGTGTAAAATTAGCTAGAATAGGAAAGAGCGAAAAAAGCTCCCGAGGTCACAGGTGAGAGATAGCCCAAGCTCAAGAGAGCAACCGCAGTAGCGCAGGGGGTCTGGGTCTGCTGTGACCAGTTCAGCCCTGGGTGATGTCACAGTTCCCTCTACGACAACACAAGCTGTCAAACACAAGGTCCAAACCCACTCCTCAGAAAGCCACCGCCAATCTCACTGCTGCATTGCCACCCGTCCTTGCAGACGGCCCAAGGACATTGCCACCTTGGCCAGAGTCCAGCTGGGAACAGTGCTTCCAGACTTAGCAAGCCAAAGAGCAGGGTGTCTGGGGGCAAGAAGTCACTCTCCAATGTCTGCACTGCACAGACTACATGAGGACCTCCCAGATCCAGGATCTGCAAGAGACACATCCTCAGACACAGCTAGTTCCTCATCAAGTGAGCACTCCTTTGAGACAAGAACTGGAGCTGTTGTGATAGATATCGGCACGGGGAGCTGTAAAGCAGGGTTTGCCGGACAACAGAAACCCAAGTCTGAAATCAGCACCTTGGTTGCCTATCCTTCAGAGCAATTCCTAGGCTCAGAAAAGGCCGGTCCTCACACCTTCTTCAGGGAGGAAGCCTTGCTTCACACCGATGTTGACATCATTGGGCTTGTGCAGAGCAGCATCATCAACTGGGAGGCAGCTGAAATCCTGTGGCAGCACATGTTCTACCATGACCTCATGGTCCCCCCTGAGGAGCACGCTTTACTCATCACAGATCCCCCCCTGAGTCCTATCACCAACCGAGAAAAGATGGTGGAGCTGGCATTTGAGTCACTGAACTCCCCTGGCATTTACATCGCCTCACAGTCTGTCCTCTCAGTATATGCCCATGGTCAAACTAGTGGTTTAGTTGTGGATGCAGGCTACGCCGTGACCCACACGGTACCCGTCCATGAGGGTTACAGCTTACCACACGCTGTCGAGAGAATGGATATTGCCGGATCCCACATGACACATTACCTGATGAAGCTTCTCAGGGACTCTGGGTACACGATCAGTGAAGGGATAACCCAAGTCATAGAAGACATCAAACACAAATGCTGCTACGTTGCTCCTGACTTTGAAAATGAGTGCTACCTCCCTAAGGCCACCTACATGGTGGATTTCCCCTTACCAGATGGTCAGACCATCAGTCTTGGGAAGGAGAGGTTCCAGTGCCCAGAGGTGCTCTTCAACCCCCCCCAGGCACACGGGATTTCTTACGTGGGCATTCATGAGATGGCCCAGAGAAGTCTAAACAAAGTTCCAGAAGCGGTCAGGGAAAAAATGTACAAAAACATCCTCCTGTGTGGAGGCTCCTCTCTCTTTGAGGGGCTAGAGGAGAGGTTTTCCAGTGAGCTCCTCCGAAAAATGCCCTCTAATGACAAAATCAGAGTATCTGCCATCCCCTTGAGGAGATATTCTGCCTGGATGGGGGGGTCCATCCTTGCCTCCCTGAAAAATTTCCAATCATGCTGGATCCGAAAGGAGGAGTACAGCGAACACGGACCATGTATTGTCCATCAGAAATGCTACTGAAGGAGACACTTCACACCGGGCTGAAGGCCACCAAGAGAGCCAACAGGTTTCTTTGGCTACCTGGGTGAGAAACACGTATGTATTGATGCACAATTTACTTGTGGCTACAGGATGGCCAGTAGAAAGCAGTAATAAATGGTTTTGCTTTATTGAACACTGTCCTTTCCCAGGTTTCACATCATGCAGAGTTGTGGGTTATTTCAGTAGATGCCCCAAATGTGAAACCAGCAGATCCTGCTCCCCACAATGCCCCAGTGAAATAGGTGAGGTGCTTCACACAGCCCTTGCTCCATTCCCCCAACCCCTCATCTCAGCCAGCACAGAACTCCCATGCAGCCATACCAGCCCTGGAGGGCAGCAGAGGCCTGTTCCCCAACTCACTCTGCTGCATCCCCTCCACGCTGTTTGCTCTCTCCAGGCTGTCCTGCAGCCTGGAAAAACTATCTTCACCCACAGAAATGCATGTCTAAGGGTTGGAACACAATGACTACCTGCAGCCAGGGTGTCCCAAGCCACAACAGGGGCCTGCTTGCTCAGAAAGGTTTTATTTATGGGGAGAAAATTGCAGTCCAGGTTGAGCAGCCCAGGGGGCTCTCAGCCTGCATCCTGCCTGCTGGAGACCTCTTGCATAGCCCTGCACAGCCCAGAGGACAGTGCTGATCATGGTCCCCCACCTCCAGGGCCACTACAGTGGCATCAAAGTGCCATTTCCACCTCCTTGAGGCCACCCAGGAGCTCATGGAGACACAGGAATGGAGTCAGGGCATGCAAACACCAGCCCAACCTCCTCACTCCAGCCCAGCTGAACAACAGCCCAGCCAGGAGCAGAATTGCATGGCCCCACTTTGCAGAGGAGACTTTCCCTCCAGTACAGCCCAGGCACTCCAGAAAAGGTTTCTAATGCTAAAGCAGGGCCCTGCAGATGTCTCCTATTGTGCATACAGCCCTTGCAACCACCTCCAAGCACACAAGCACTGGTCATCAATGCCCACATTCCAGCAAAAAAACAGGCACTCGGAGCATACTGCCACGGTACAGACCAAACCATGATGTGGGGATGTGGTGGTGGTGGGGGGGAACAGAGCAGAGCAAAACCTCCAAATCCATGACACCCCTAGTTACCTAAGGAATTTTCCTACCTCACTGCTAGGAAATGGTCTGACCTCTGTCCATAGCAGCTAAAGGGCCAAGGGGACTCCCAGGCACAACAGGCAGAGCTAGGCTGCTGCTAGCTCCCCCCCCTTCAGTGCCTTCTCCAGAGAAGAAGACATACTGACCCTCTGGGTTTTGTAGGTCTGAGGGCTTACCGGCCTCAGGGTGCACTTGGCAGCTCCTCAGGGCTCAGTCACCTCCAGCTGTAGCTCAAGGGACCTGGGCAGCTCTGCAGCCACCTGAGTCACACAGCCCTGACAGTGACCAGCGTGCAGGTACCTTGGCACCAGCCAGCTCTCCTCCTGACACAGCACATTCCCATGTAGGGTTTCTTCATCCAGCTGCTGCCAGTTCAGAGTCAACAAGAAGCAGGAGCTACAAAAATTCCTCCCCAGCTGCACTTCATCACTGGGATTTCATCAGGGGCTGAGGGCTCACAGGCACAGGTGTTCCCCAGCTGCAATTAGACACATTGAACCTGCACCATCATCTTTTCCTCAAGTTGCATCCTTTTATTTTCCAGCCCCCCCCACCTCGATTTTGCTTTCTCATCCTTTTTTATTTCTCTGCTTTCTCTTTTCAGCCCCAAGAGCTCTTGGCCCCATGAGGACCAGTTATTTAATACTCCCACTCAGGTGGGCAGAGTTAAGGGTATTATGGCAGGCTTAATCCCGTTGTTTGCTGATGCTCTTGAACATCAACGTGGCAAATTTAATCTCACTTGAATGTAGCTTTTGTGTGAAGGCAAAACCAGGACAGAGGTGTCTACCTCACCTCTCTGGCACAGACTGCAGCCCTCAATCCCACCCCGTGGCCGGATCCCTGCAGACACCAACACATGCACACAAGCAATTTTCTCACCACAATGGGGAGATAGAGCCGTGGAAACTATTTCAAACAATGTCAAGCTCAGCACCAAACCCTCCCACAGAAAGTCCTCAAGAGAAAAATCATGCCAAAGTTACCAAACTGTTGTGAAACTCTGCCGACCTTTTGAAGCTGGTGTGGGGTTTGGCAACAGCTTTTCAGCTGGTGACACTTTTATTGCACCTTGGTGCCCGGGGCTAGACCTGTTTTGGTCTCTTCACTACCAGCTGCGTTTGGGGGCTGTGTGGAGCCAGCGGGGTGAGGAGGAGGAAGAGGGCAGAGCTGCAGGGATGCTGCAGGGAGCTTTCCCACAGCTCACTGATGAGCACAGAGTGGTTGGCTCTCACATTGAGTCAAACTAGCCACTTAATTTCCCCTGAAACTTTCCACAGAAAACAAACTCTTACCTTGCTAGAAACCCAGGCCACAGAGGTGGGCTAGGAGGAATGAGCAGCTCTTGGGAAAGGAGGGGACAGGCTTGAGGGACACGTGCAGCAAAAGCAGCAGCACGAGCGACCCAAATTTGTTCCCTGTGAGCCAAAGGGGAAAGCACTGGGGCCAGCCAGGTGCTTTATTCTGCACCCTGGGCGTTAGCCAAAACTTTCAGTCTTTTTTCTGTTCAAGCAATTTTAAAACAAAGGCTTAAAAGAGGGATAGGACTTGAATTCTTATAATTCTTATCTTTACACTGAGGGCAAGCTCCTTCAGTGGGTACCACCATGGGCCACAAAAAAAAAAGCCATCACATTTGCAGCTTTTTTAGTCCAGCAAACTCCCCCCCCACTTCCTCTTTTTGTTTGGCAAAAAGCCTGAGCAACAGCATTCCACCACCCTCTCTCCCCCCGCTTAGGACATGGACCCCCTCCCCAATGTGAGCCGGGTGAGCAGGAAGATAGTGATGGGGCAAGACAGGCCGATTTTATTTTGGTATTTCCTTAGCACATCAGAGAAAATGGGGAAAGTGGCAGGACAGGATTCGCTCGTTCTCGTAAGCACTTAATTGCAACCAGGCGAGGGTTGCTCTCAGGATGCCTGTGTCAAGGTGTGAGTGGGGAGGCACCTGCGTGTGTGGCTCCAGTCAAGTGGAAATACCGGAAACCTATTCACAAGAGGTTCGGCCTCGCCTCTGCTAAGGAAACTTTGAACCAAACGTTTTAACCCGTCCCAGTTTCCCGCATTCCTCGACCCCAGTGAAATCCTGCACCCTGCAAAAAGCATTGCTGCGTTTCAGTCCCGGCAGCAGCACGAGGCCTCGATCCCGGCGGGCTCCCGCTCCCGACAGCTTTGGGAGGCAGCCTCAAAAGCTGCCCTGCGAAAGCTTCGGCGTCTCCACCCTTGCCTGCTGGCGGCTCGCTCTGCCTCCTGCTCGCTGGCACAATGCAGGGTGCAGCCACCACAGAGGGAAGAAATTGCTCAGCGGCTTGACACCTCCGTTTCGCTTTCATCCACCCAAAAGTACTTTCTGCTGCCCATCAGCCTTTCCCCATGGAGGAGGATGGCTCCCTTCACTGGCTCGGGTGTTCGGCAACGGTGCCGCGAGCCAATGTGCAAACCTCCCCGGGAAGGTGGATGACACCTGGAGGATTGGCACAGCTCAACGGGATCCCAAAAACCGATGCAAAGCTATCGAGCACTTGCATTGAGAAGCATCGCTTTTGCAAGCAAAAACGGATGCGGCTTCTTCATGCCGAGGGGAGTAGGGCAGTTCAAAGCTGGGGGCAGCCTCCAGATCTGCTGGTCACCTCCAGCTCCCTCTGGGTGAGATAAAATAAATATGCATTAGGCGAGACACCCTGCTGCACATCATGGCTTCAGGGCCTAAAGGGAACGGGGCAACCCTGCGTGCTTGGTGTTAAAGCGCTGCATTTCACTGTCCCAGCAGGGCATCAGCTCCTCCACGGGCGTGTATTTGTATTACGAAGAAAACCTCTCAGCCGTAAGTCTCAGAGAAATAAGACACCAGGCAGAAAGGGCTGGTAAGATTTTGAGGTTAGTCAAAAATGCTGTGGTAACTTAGCGGAAAGTATTTTTCTGCCGTAATCTCATTCTGATGCCAGGCCAAGGTTTTTTGTGCTGTAGGAGAAAGAAATGCAACGAGTGTGGGAGGTGTGAACTGTTGCTACCGCACTGGGAAGGTGGTGACGACTGGCGAGCTCAAAATGATGCTTGTCAGACTCCCTCCTTGATAGTGGCGTGAGCAAGTAAAGTGGAAAAAAAAAAAGACATTATCGGCCTTTTAAAAAAAAAACAAAAAACAAAACCCGAATCAAATAGCTGTGAGACGACCTCGTCAGCAAATGTTATTTAAAAGCAGAGACATTTGCTAGCATTGTCTCCTCTCTCCCGCGGGTGGGGAGGCTTAACTTAAGATGCAGCCCTTCCGCTCCCTTCCCCTTCACTCACACATTTGCCAGTTTGAAGCAGCCCTTGGCATCACCCAGTGAAAATATTTTCAAGCAGCAAAAACACCGCCACCTGCGTTGCGAGCTCTCGCACCTGCAGAGCTGCCTCCCTGCTCAGGAAGGTTTTTCAAAGCCTTGCAAACTCAGAAGTGACAGTGGCAAAAGCAGGGCACAGTTTGGAGGATGGGGACCCTTGCACCCAGGCCATCGTGGCCATCCCAGCGGAGGTGACACCTCTGCCCTGATGTGGTTTTTTACAGGGGTGACGGTGTGGTGGCAACAGGGGAATGACTTGCTCTCCGTCTCCAGGCGCTCAGCCCTATTGCCAGACCGGTGCAAGCTCCTGCCACCGCTGCCACCAAATCGGGACGGCTCGCGGAAGTGCCGAGGACAAGGAGGACCTCTAAGATGCGGAAGCGAGTTGTAAAACTTCCCATTCATGAGCCACCAACACTTCCTAGCAGGAAGATCGGCGGGTGCGAAGGGGGCCGAGACAGCTCTGCATGAACCTGCTCAGCCTCGGAGACACCGCTGGGATCACAGGGTGTCTTTAAAACGATGCTCCCCATCCCTCCCCAT